TTTTTTAAAATTAAGTTTTTTTTCCCGTTGGCCATTTTTTTTTGGCGAAACCCCCCCCCCCCCCCCCCCAAAAAAAAAAAAAAACAACCAAGTGTTTCCTTGTCGAGTCGACGAAGCTGACAATCACGGACGCAGGCTTTGGCCGTCATGGCACAGCCAAGCTACGCTGCGGCCTCATTGAAGGAGTTGGCCAAGCTGGCTGATGAAATCTGGTTCCTCTCCGGCGACACCTCTGTTGACCCCTCTTGGTACACCAAGCGCGCAAGCTTGTCCATGATCTATGCCTCCAGCGAGCTGTTCATGACTAACGACAGGTCACTCGGCTTCCGGGACACCAGAGACTTTCTCCAAAGGAGACTGAAGGAGGTTCAAGAAGTTGGTGGCGCTCTTGGGTCTTTGGGTCAATGGGTTGGTTTCACGGCTAGCGCGGGTGTCAACGTCTTGAGAAGTAAAGGACTTCGAATTTAGCAAGACCTTGGTCGAATGGCCCGGGTATACCGCGCAAGATCCATCGAGACAATCTTCTGGAGGATTGGGCCGTTGTATAACATTGTCTTAACTTGTACACATCGCTCTATGATAAACCCTCTTAATGCGCCAACTCGTTCCATCATGGGTTATTTCCCCAGAATAGCTTGTTTACCGAACCTAAAGAGTTCACTTGCCTCCACACCCCGTATCGCGAAATCCCATCCGCGCAGGCCAAGCATCCCCAAACGCCACGTAACCACCTGAACGCCGAAGAACACATCTCAGATCAGACCAAAGTTCGTTGCCGGGGATCCGTCAAGCTAGTATTCACGTCAGCGCTCCATACTCGGACAGCCAGTGTTGGCGAAATCGACTTACCGAATGACCTTCACGTCCTGGTCGAGTGCTGCCCTTCCTTCAATAGCGTTTGGTGTAATCATGATATACTGGCGCGATACCGAGCGTCGAGCGGCAGCAATCTAAGGAACAACGACATTAGTCTTTGACATGGATGAGGTGATGGTCAAAGTCTGACTTACCAGCATGCCCGTGCTAATGGTACGATTGACATTGTCCATGAAGACATCGAACTCGTCTAGACACCTTAGAGGCGACCCCATCGCTTCCCAGATGGCAAGCAGCATGCAGATCGACGAGAACGACTTCTCGCCTCCTGAAAGTGTTTTTGTACTTCTACCACCCGTGCCCTTTCGTGTTTCGTCAGGTTCCACAAAGAGTGACAACCTGCGTTGCGGATGGTCAATGGCAAGCTTGCCCCTGAAACCGCGCTCGCTGAGAAGATACTGGAAGCAGATACGGGCACGAGCCGAAATATGGCGTTGGAACAAACGCCATCTGTTCAGTCGATCTTCCAAATTCAGCTTTCCAGCGGTCTGTTCCTCCAGTTGGCCTTGATAGAGCTGCTTCGCAGACTCATAGGTGGCTTCCGCTCGAGCTGCTCGCTCTTTGATTTCCTCATCCGATGCGCCAAGCTTTTGGGCTCTTCTTTCCAACTGCTGGTGGATGGTGGTATACTTGGCCTCAATACTCTTATGAGTCTCGCCCTCCTCGATGTACACTCGATTCGGCGCCTTCTCCATGGCTTGCTCTGTGAAGTTGGCCACGGTCTCAGCCTGTCGGTCGCGTTTTTCTTCTGCGCGTCGCTTGTCTTCAATCGCGTTGTCACGATCCTCGAATGCGCGATTTTTGTCGATGACCGCAAGCTTCCGCAAATCCTCGGCCCTCTGAACATGCATCTTCAGCTTGTTCAGCTGAGCATCGTAGTCTTTCAGTCTTCTCTTCTCTTCGTCGCTCCTCCTCTTGTATTCTTCGGTTTTCTTGTTGAGTTCTTCCTGTCGAACCTTCATTTCTCCGTATTGGGTGCCCTGATGTTCTTTCTCCGCCTTGGCCTTTTCCAGTTCTTCCCTGTAACCAATAAGTCTTCCATCAACTCCCTCGTACTGGTCAAGCTCAGCAGAAATGTTGTCGATCTTCGCTCGAGCCCTGAGCAACTTCCTGTCCAACGACTTGATCTCGGCTTCTTGTGTGTTCAGATTGGCCCTGCACTTGGCAGATGCTTGTTCAAGCTGGCGCTGGCTTGCTTCTAGAGAGCGCAGCTCGCCCCGCAACTGAGCCAATGCTTCGCCTTGCAACTTAACTTGGGTCTCGTTGTCCGACTTCATCCTCGGGATGCGATTGAATGCATTGACAGGCGATGTGTTGCTCCCAGTCTCCTTCGCTTGCAAACGAAGACCATGACCACGCTTGTTGGCACCATCATGGAAAGTGAGACATACCTGTACGTTGGGTGGAGGCGAATTTCCAAACATCACTTCTTCGGCCCGCTGTCTCTCCCTTATGAGAATGATTCTGTCGATCGAGTGGGCAACAATGAGCTGGCTTCGCACCAACTCGTTATCGCACTTGAGCACGCGGAGGACAGTATCAAATCGTTCATCAGGCTCCTTAAGGTTCACGTTGGGCGGCAGTCGCTTGCCGATGATGATCGGGGGAATGCGGGCCAAGTTGAAGCGCTGCATTAGCCTTGCGAGCCTTTGTTGGTCCCTCTTGTTCGACACCAAAAAACCGTCAAGTGTTGCGCCGAGAGTCGTCTCCAAAATAGACGACCAAGCGGGCTGCAACAGTTGGATGTGGGCTCCAATAGGCCCGACGGGCTTCTCGTCGAAACCATTGTCACGCTCAATAGCCTGCAGGAGAGCGGGAATTTGCCTGTCGTAAGCTGCGTATGTTGACCCTGCGCTATGCTGGAGGCTCTGCAGGCGGGACTCGGCTGCTGAAATTTCTTGCCTCTTCCCGTTCAGCTCGATTCTTCCGGCGGCTTCATCAACTTCGGCTTGCTTCAACACAGCTTGCAATTCCGGTCTTTTGTTCTGAGCATTCGACATTTCTTCTTGGAAGGTTGATTCCTCCGACTTCGCTTCATTCATCTTCGCCTCGAGCTCCTGCCGAGCGCTACCAGCACTGGCGTCGAGTCTTTGCTCCTCCGCCAGAATCTTGACCTCGTAGTCCTTCACCTTGTCTTTTGCGATATTGTGGCGTAACTGGACGTCTCTCAGCTGTCGGTACAAGTCGGTAACCTGTGCTTTGGCTTCTTCAAAATCAGCCTTTGCAGAGTTGACGTCTTCATTGATGGTATTGGCCTCCAGGGTTTTCTCTTCCACGGCTGCTTGGGCACGCGCCAACTGCTCGTCGCACTGAGCCAGGGCCTGTGTTGCCTGCTCAATGGTCGCCTCAGCCCCATTGATCAGTTCATCTAGGGATGTGATACTGTCGTTGCATTGCTGCAAGACGTCTTCTTGCTCTGCAACTTGGGACCAGTAGAGCTGGTTCCGAAGACGGCGATAGGTCTTTCTCATCTCCTCATTCTTCTGGGCGATATCCCTGAGCTTGCGCGCCTCGGAATACTCTCGTTCAGCACGTCGCACATGCTCCTCGAGACTCGGTAGCTTTGCTTCGTGACTTTCAAGAATCTCTGTCAGGAGCTTGTAGTCGTTGTCCAGCTGCTCAAGTTGTACGCCGCGAACGAAGAACTTATATTTCATGGATGCTGATGACGAGTTCAGAAATTGTCGCGCGTTGTCCTGAGAAAGAACGTTGAGAGGATTGTCAACCTGAAAGGCCCAATATTCCGAGATTTCGTCGACATCGGCCTTCTTGGTGGAGATGGTCTTGCCGGTCACGCTCTTGAGCTTGAAGCCACTAGCACCAGCTCTGGAAAAGTGTCGCTCGACCCTGATGGTTTCTCCATAGATATCAGGTTGGTATGCGTCGATGCCCTGGTTCTTTATTCTCACGATGATGACGGAATTATCGCGGCCCTCCTTGATGAAACTCTTCAGACTGCCACCTCGGTTGGTCGAGCTCGCCTTACCACCGAGGCATAGGGTAAGGGCAGTCAGGACGGCACTCTTGCCGCTTCCGTTCTCGCCGACAATAAAGTTGATCAAAGGGCCCAGCTCGACGAAGAGACGTTCGTGACACATGAAGTTGAAGCACTCGACGCTCTCTATAATGCCGTTCTCAGCAGCATGGTTGTCGCCGATGCGCTGCGGACGACTCTTGATCTTCTGTGTGGCTCGTTGGTCGTCTTGGTCCTCATATTGAAGATGCTTGAACCCATCGTCGCGGGCTATCTCGTACTGGGTGCGGGGTGGAGAGTCGCGGCGGCCTCGATCGTTCTCGTCCTCGTCCTCCCCGGCGGGAGCATCGCTATTGGAGCCTGGGCTTTCTTCGCGCTGCTTTCCCTGTGCAGAGTAGGATAGTCTGACTCGCTTTGACTGGTAAAAAGATGAGTTCAGCATGTTTGAGCCATATCGATTTTTCTTGCGCTGCGCAACTTACAGACGCGTCCTGGCTAAGATGCGATCTTGCCTGCTGAACGTCCAATACTTCCTCTGTTTCCAGGACAGCGCGTGACCGTTTAGCAGGAGCCATGATGATGATGCGCGCTTGCCTTCGAGCGGCTACCGGACAGATCACGACCAACCTGGAAGAGACGTCGGGCGCTGGTCGCTTGGGCGAAATTTCGTGATGTAAGGCAAGGTCAGGTAGGCAGTGAGTTGGAGGACATTGCTGTGCGACGCGAAGGGGAGACAAGGATACGCGAATTTCTGGTGGGGTCTTGTTAAAGGGCTGAATACCTTGCTGGTGATATATTGCAGGTATTCAACAGCTTTCTATTGGCCGGAAAGTACAAGAAGACAGTGGCCTGAAGTACCTACCTCCAGAAAGGGGACGCGGTACCTTACCTTACCTACCAGGTAGGTAATGTGAAGGTAGGCAGGTACGGATACAGTATCTAGGTACCTACCTACACCTAGCAGCCGGACCCCACCAGGGACTTGGAGGCCCCACACCGGTACTTTCCAGAAGAGGTCGCCAAATGCTAGGGGCCCACAAGATCAAATCTGAGCTGCTGAGCCGGATCTGAATACTTAAGGTATGGAACGTCAAGCTACCTTGCCCACCTGTGTTTAGCTAACCGCAGGTGTCTATATTATATAATGTAACCCGGCGACGACAGGTCTTTCTTCATTGTGTCTGCTGAGTCCTACCTGCCTTCCTTTTAGTCACAAGGAAAACCACACTACAACCTCGTCGACTTTCAACCTCGGGTCAAAAGTCTAAGCAGCACATCGAGTGCTCCAGCCATAGGCAAGGCAGTACCTCACCTTTACCACGCCGATAGTACCTTGCTACCTGTTGTTTGAGTGCTTCATTCAGGTCAGGGCGTCTGGGATAAAGAAGAGAGAGAGAGAGAAAGGGAGAGAGGGAGAGGGAGGGAGAAGAACGAGAAGAAAAAAATATCACGGCCACGCATTGGGTGAACAGAAAAGTCGCAATGGCTGGACGTGTGCAAGACGAACAACCCGGCCTCGCCACCATGGAAAACGGTCTTCCGGAAAACTGTGTCGAATACTTCATCTTTTTGATCGAATCGGAGACTCGAAACGATACGCGAAAGCAACTCTCACGGCTCGAGCATATCCGCAAGGCAGCGCTTCAGCTTACGACGCGACTTACGAGTGACTACATCTGGCAGAGGGGTTCTCTCAACCTCGATATCGTTACCAATCAGGGTCAGTCAGAACTCCTGCGTGCTTCCTGCAATTTTCTTCCGAGTCTAAATAATTCGCAGGACTTGTCTATCTACACGGAGTGTCAGACTATGGGGACGCCATCGAAGATGAGTGGCTCCTAGTCTACATACTCAGGGAGCTCTCCAAATCCAACCCGGCAGCATGGATCCGCGTCTCAGACAGCGACGGCGAGTTTCTCTTGGTGGAAGCAGCCAATGTGTTACCAAAGTGGCTGAGCCCAGAGAACGACCAGCATCGAGTCTGGATCAACAACGGCCACCTCCGCATAATCCCCTTGACCGAAAGTTCTCCGGCTTCCAAGTCCCAACAGCTCACGCTAGCAGGAGCTGTGGATGCCATTAGAGAAGATGCAGCCTCCCTCATTCATTCCGAATTCATCGAAGCGGAGGCATTTTACCGACTGGAGAAGTACCCCGAGCAAATTCAGAAATCCATCCATCACTCGTTGGTGACGATACCGCGGAGGCTGGCATATATCATCCATCAAGCCCCGAGAGCAATCGCCCCAGCCGTGGAGTCCTTCTATCTGCGCGATGCGTTGGACTTGAAAGCACTCTTGTCCAAGCCCGACGCCATCCTTTTTCCTCCGAAAGATCTCGTCACGTTGAGTGTAAAGTTCACCAGGGTCCTGTTTGCGCAACTTCGATCACAGCGATTCGAGCCCCCCACGCCTTGGGTGGATATCATTCAGAGGGCCCGAGGCAAGGAGCAAGCTCGGCTAGAGATGGGCATGAAGGTCACATGCGGGTTCGAAATCATGTTGAAGAACATTCACAAGACCAACAGCCGCGAAGCTCGGGAAGCCAGCATCTTTGTTGAAGATTTGCAAGAGGATGGCGACTCAGTGTTACCAACGGACAAAGACATCAACACATGGACAGACGCTGACAGAGACGACGATGAAGCATGGATGGATATCAACTATGAGGACTTTGAGGAGGAACTTCAAGGTCGTCGTGGCGGTAAAGGCAAGCAACCCGGATCCGGTTTTGGGGATTCCACGGCGCAGGCAGACTTGCGCAAGATTGTGTCCCGCTTCGAGGCCTTCCTAAATGATGACAGTGCAGGACTTGAAGGGGTTGAAATCGACGAAATGGACATCGATAACGAGGATGATGGTGACGATGATGGAAGCGGGGAGGACGACGAGGACGAGGACAAAGCTGTCAGCTTCGACGAGGCAGAGTTTTCTCGAATGATGAGAGAAATGATGGGACTGGCCCCAACTGGGATACAGGCGACAACAAGGTCGGACAAAAAGCCGGGGATGGCGGTCCCGAATGCAACAGGCCTGGTGCAGGTCGGAGAGTCTGGTGAAGACTCTGACGGCGAAGAGCTGCAGAAGCTTGCAGCGCAGCTCGAAGCTGAACTCAAAGAATACGGCGCCCTGAAACTCGACGCGGGAGGCAACAAAATGCCCGCGGTTGAGGGCAACGGCAGTTCGAAGGACGTAGGAAACGCTAACAGCAGCCATCCCAACGGTTCTGGCGCTGACCACATTGACGATGAAGAGGGGGTCGATGAAGAGATTGATATTGATTATAACCTGGCAAAGAACCTCTTGGAGAGCTTCAAGGGCCAGGCAGGTCTACCTGGACCGGCCGGCAATATATTGAGCATGATGGGGCTCCAGCTTCCTCGTGATGAAGATGACGGCGACGTCAAGGCAGGAAAGGAGAATTGATTGAATCGAACGATGATTTGCGTGTCTACAATCAGAAGGTCTGGTCACCAGCCTTTACTCACCGCTCAGTTTCAAACTCCTCGTAAAGTATTTCTCTCGCACGACGCTAAGTTTTGACAGCCAGTACTCCGTGTATAATGCCTCGTCCATTCGTAACATCATCCACAGAAACAGATCCATCTACACATCCTTCTCACCACTCTTCGACCGCTTCGCTGGGCTCACTTCACCACTCGGCCTTCTCCCTCTCCGGTCGACGAGATCCTCCAGCGCATCCAGCTGTGCCAAAATGCTGCTCAGCCTCTTCCGTGCCTCTAGCTCACGTCCACCACTGTCCTTACGCGGCCGGAAGAACTCCTTGGCAATGTGCGTAGTAGTGTGGTAGCACTCGTATAGTAAGAGACGGATGTGGGCGGTTGCCTTGTCTTCAATCATGTCCGAAGAGAACATGGACGATTCAAGGTTTTGGTCAGATGAGTTATCGTTGAAACCCGAAAGAAAATCGTGGCTAGGGCCGCGGCAGAAATTCATGGCAAAAAGAGGGTCTCCAAATATGAAGTTGCTCCAGTCTTTCATTCCAGTCATAACAACGTCGTCCTGGCTATAGATAGTGGCCTGGTGCAGCTCGTCAGGCTCCGTTTCACTGTTGTCGTCGTCCCCGCTGTCGCGTCGAATGTCGTCTCGTATGCTTGGCCGCCTGCTACTGGCTGGTGACACAGTGCTCCTTCGGCGTCGCCTCCTGATTACGAGAGTATTGATATCTTTTCCGACGTCCACTGCCACCAGACGAGGTGTCTTGACCTCGTCCAGGGTGTATTGGAACCGTTTGAAGTGCTTGCGGATGGAACCATAACCCAACATGACTTGCATATCCTCGCCATCGCGCAACACGGCCTCCAGCATGGAATGAAAAGCTGTCGACCAGGACTGAACACCTTTCAACTCCATCAACCTGGCGTTGAGGTCTCGTCTGACTGGCCGCGCTTGGCCAGACGCGGGAGCTGGCGTCACGGAGGGGAGTACGGCAAACGCAGGCCCAAAGCGACCTGTCGGGGATACAAGTCTACATAGTCTCCTGTAGAAGTGCCCCGTTTGAAAATCGATTGTTTTTCGCTCGGGCGCGGAAAGAGGTGGACTGAGGTCGGGAATGGGGACACCCATAGTCGGCCGCATAAGGTTGAATTCGCGACCAGTCTCGTGGGATGTTGCCGTGTGAGCTATAAGCCTCGGGAGGAAACCCTGCAGATCTTTTGCCCCGTCGACGGTAAAACTGAGGTCTCCAGCCCTCCCGGTCGCAGCCACTTCGGTGTCGAGAGATTCATCTGGTTCTGGTGTTCGCTCTTGGAGGAGGGGCTGTTCCGTCATCTTGTTTGCGAGCCATCTCAGGACGGCCGCCTCCGAGACGACGGAGGCTCGCTCCGATCGAAGGAGCTTGACCATCGGCGGTGGAGGGACGACGAGGACAAGACTCGTTCCGTCAGAAATCTTGACTCCATAGGCGCGCTGGCAATGGACCGAGGAGACAGCCTGAACATGTTGGATAGTGGCCTGGGGCACCAGGTGGCTTATAACGGCCTGCATGGGCTTTGTTGTCGTGGGCGGCAAACACATGGATGTTGCGAATACCGAGGTGTGTGACGGGATCTGCCTTACGGAAGGTCTATGGGCAACTGACGCAAAACTGCAGGTTTGCGACACGTCCTGACAGGCGAGTCCTATGCAGGGTGAAGTTGAGCTGTAAGGTCTGTGAAACCAAATGGTGGCCATGTGGAAGGGGGTGGGTGCAAGGAGCTAGATATAGCGAGCCCTCGGACCTCAAGTCGCATATAGCAGTGATTTGGGCGTGCCAGGAATGGGGGTTCGAAATATCGTCAACATGCCGGGGTAGCATAGGGCTGCCAATGACGAATGGGTGCTGGCGAGAAGGATGGTGAGTAGCGAGCGAAGTAGACACGCGGCGGAAAGAACAGGCGCTACATGCATCAAAAGACGAGGACTTTGGCGGAAAACAAGCGAGAACATGCGAAGCACACGGCGGAGCAGGGCGTGTAAGCGGTCAGCAGTTCGGGGACGTCGAAGCCGAGAAAGCTGGCCATGAATCCACGGGAGATGTCCGAAGTGGATGCAGATGCAGTCGGGCAACCCGGAATCCTGCTATTCATCGCAGAACCGGTGGTTGTTCATTATGATAACGTATGGAAGGGGGTGTCTTTGCAGGCTTACACGAGCGCAAGTAATCTTTGAGCAGGGTGCGGATATAACTTGGCCATGACCATGAGACCAAGACCTGTTCTGCAGACCAGAAGACGGAGTCCTTTCAGTACCTAGCAATGAGAAGTTTCTACACGCGAGCAGCAAGAACCAGCCAGTCGGCTAAGGCAAGTAGATTGCCCGCCGGTGGCGGGCGAGGCGTTGCGCATGGAGAGACATTGGAGCAAGGAGGCGCTCAATAAGAGCTCAGGAACTGCAAATAAGCGAAAGAGGCAACGCTAGAGCTTGCCCGGGGATAGGTAGGTTGAGCGAAGGAAGCACTTTCACTTTCATAGCTCTTCGCTGTTAGCTCTCTGATGGAGCGATGGCCTTTTGCTGGGGAGCAAGGGAAAACGCGCGAGTTGAAGGTGAGTGATTCGTGCTGATATCCCAGTCCGCGACAGCAAACCGTACTACTTGGAGTCAAGTCAAGCGAAAGTGCAGAATCGTACGCAGCGAACGTAGGAAGGTAGGTAGAACGAATAGTGGGTGAGACGGATCACTCCGGGACGCTGGGCGACATCCGTACGTAGCCCCCGGGAATGTCTATGAGGCTGCGCTGATATGTAAGGCGACATAGGTATCTGAAGACCGACAGTCAACCCAGTGGGGTTTCGATTCAGCTGTGTTTGTCGAGAGTTAATAGAGAGACCGACATACTATGTACGTAGTAAGGGACCTTGGGGAAAAAAGACAGGGAAGCCCCGACTAGGCGCATCCGTGGCTGCCAATCCCGGCTAGTCTGTGCATCGAGAAGCGAGCCGGGAGTCTGGTGATTGGACGCCGTCAAGCGAGCCGGGTGGAGCACGGATTCCGCCCTCGGGGCCGGCGCGGTCGTCGACTGACCCAGCCGCCCGGGGGGGGGGCTCCCTGATGAACAATTACGGATGTCATATATGGCCGTTTACATACCGTAATCGAATCTCTTTGACGGTAAGGTATACAGACAGATACTGGAGATTGAACTGATATTATCCATAGTGTTGAGGCACCTTGAACGCGAGAAGACATTTCCGCATGCGATGTATGATTCTTACGCAACGGGGAACCTCACATGCTGTTTCGATCATCTCAAAGCTTGGCGTCCAGATTGCAAGTATCATTCAACACGGCCTAATCGCGGCCCTTTCAATCCTATACCTCCTCTTTCCTGGACTTGGCTGCCTCATGGAAGCTTCCTAGAACTCTTCGACATGCTGACGCCTCCGGGAACTCGTCAAATTTATCGCAATAAGGCTTAGCGTGGTCCAGGGGGGCGGGGGCCCACTCCACAAGGCCGCACGCCTCCAGTTCTGGTAATCTTCCCCTTAGGTTCGTCAGTGCCAATGATGAGAAGACCGTTCGCTTCCTTTCAAATCACCCTGATCGTAGGCATTCAAGCGGTTTTCAGAACCCCAAACACCGACGACGCCAATCAAGTGGATAGCCATGCTGAGCGCGCACAGAGTCCGGGCAAACGGACAAGTGCTGCCGCAACTCCGCTTAGTATGCCAATGACCGCACCCCAAGAGATCGAGCAATGGAAGAGAGTGCGACGTCCGCCATCTGTACCATCTGCCTCGCTGGGTTCTGTTCCAGTTGCTCGGGTAAGCCCGATACCAGCAGTGAATAGTCGTTGACCACTGTTGGCACAACATTTTTTCTTGTCTCGTCGTCTGCTCAAATACATCAGATATACAGGGCGTACCATACGCAGGATGCACAGCTTCATCCTGTTGGATCGGGCGGCCATCAATAATCTCCGACCCCGCGTCGCTTCCGCCTCGGCGGGATGGGCTCACAACGCCTGGCCCTCCTCCGCCTTGGCAGCAGGTGCTTTTGGCTTCGCGCCTGGCGACACCTTGTACATCTCATTGATGTTGAGCTTTTTCAAGCCATCCCAGTCGCTCCCGTCAATGACGCTCATGCCACAGTAGCTCTGTGTAAGGCTGTCAGCATTTACTCAATATCCTCACACTGGTAATCCGCTGTACCTGGAATATATCGACGAGGATCACCTTGTCCGGGTTGCCGAGGTTGACCTTATGGCGTTGGTCGATAACGGAGGCTATCTGTTTGATGAGATCGTCGCGTTCAATGGAGCTATTACTGCGAATAGAATGCCGGATGGCGTACTGGGAACTAGTTAGTAGAGCGCGAGCAGAAGTTCGCGTTGTTCAACTGACCGTATACGCCTGCCTTTCGTCTTGCTTGCCGTCTTCTGCGTTGGATATCTCGGTCTTGACTCCCGATGGCTGAGCATCGGCTGCTGAGCTCTTTGCCTTCACCTCCTCCTCCTCCTCCTCCTCCTTTGCTTCAGCATCACTACTCGCCACTAGCACGAGCCACGGGGCAAGAGCCTTTCTCGCCGCCCTCTTCACACCGTTCTCTGATGCCTTGTCCAAGGCAGTGACCGGGGTCAACCTGTTGACGTACTTGGTCTTGCGCTTCTTCATGTCAGTGCAGATGGCCGCATCTTGGCACATGCGACGACACAGTGCAACAGGCTCAACAGGATCTCTCGTCTTCATGAAGAAGACACACTCGATACCGGCCCGGATTGCCTTGAAACTGCGCTTTGTTTTGGTCTTGTTGGAAGAGCTCATGCCGTCGAGCTCCTTCTTGATAGACGTCTCGATGTCTTCGTCCTCGTCGCCTGATTCGACGTCCTGCCTGGGCGGAACGATGCCGTACAGTGTTTTCCCGTACTAGAAAGGCGTCTCAGTAAATAGAGCGAATCGGTTGGCAATTAAACGGTTGCAAACCTCGTCGCACAGCATGTTAAATTCACTGATGGCCTTCCTGTCCATACCACGAGCAAAAGTGACCCAGATGCCCTTGTCGCCTATTTCGAGTGTGGCATCCCGGTCTTGAAGATTGGCAATCTTGGACTTCTGATGAGGGGTCTGCCATGAACCCGATCCCTTGCCCCCCTAAAGACGCCTTGTCAGCAAAATGTTCTTGAGATTCGGCATCCGGGTGACAGGACGCGCAAAGTAGCATCCATTGTATGAGACGACAGATGAGCACTTACTTTGCTCCTTTTCGCCAGATGAGACTTGTCACCTCCAGAGCTAGGGGCTTTCCTTTTCGTTGATTCAGTCATGGTGATGCCTAGTTCAGGTCGAAGTTGCGATTCCTTGACGTGGATTGCGGGCAAGTGACTGTAAAGGAAAATCGACCCAACTTGAATGGAATGGGGATAGTGCCAGAACGGCAAAAAACTGTACACCGCCCACCCAGGTCGCAGGACTTAGAAAAAAAAAGGAAAAAAAAAAAAGAGAACAAGATTGGACGTACGTGCGGGACGATGTGCAGTGACCCACTATGTATCCGTACCTACCTAGGTTACCTACCTGGTATGTCACTACGGATACGTACTATCTGCCTTGCTGATTCACTGCTTAATTTGAATTTTTGCCGTAGGCTCTCATATTGCCGGCTTCTGCTTCACTCCAATTCCAATATTTATGCAGACTAACGAACTCCATACTTATGTCTATCTATTGAACAGACCTTGCGCCATCTATCCAATCCATGTGTTATGTGTTGGGAATCTCATCACGTCTCATCTTGCGCCGATCAAGCCCTTTTCGCCTTTTTTCGTGCGAACAGTCCCTGCCCTTGGACAAATTCCCGCTCCTTACTCGACCTTGGCATTGTTCTTCGCGCTAGCCTCGGCCGTCATGATCAACGCCCTCGGAGCGTCCTCCTTAGGGACGTACAGCTCGACAAACTGCAGCGCCTTGGGCTTGTTGAACTCTTCGTCGGTGAGGAGTTTCTCCAGCTCTTCTTTGGTCTTGACCACGAACTTCTTGGCCGTTTTGTCAGAACCGCCAAACACCGTAACGGTGTCCTTGTACTTCCACTGCACAATATCATTGTACTCAGCCTCCATACCGTGGATAAATCGCTCAATGGTAAAGCCATCATTGCAGATGACGAAACTAGACCGCAATTGTTAGTCTTTCTCAAAGCAAGCAGCGTCGATGTGCTGTTGGGCGATAAACTTACATCGTAGGCTTCAAGCCGTGACGCAGCATGGTAGTGATTTCCTGCGCAGTGAGTTGGAAGGAACCATCACCAACGAACAAGATGGTCCTCCTGTCCTCGCCTGCATCCTTGACCGCAAGCGCTGCACCCTGGGCAGCGCCCACGGACCAGCCGATACTTCCCCAGAGAACCTGGCTAAGGGCAGTGACGCCGGCGGGGAACTTGGTGTCCCAGATGCCGAAGTTGGCCGTGCCGGTTTCCGTGACCACAATGTCGTTCTCGCGGAGGTATTGGCCGACTCGCGGCCATAGGTACTTCTGGGTGATGGTCTGAGTTGTGTCCGAGTCTCCGTTGGGAATCTTGTTTGTCACGTCAGGAGATGGGACAATGCTGAGCTTTCCCAGGTCAAGACCTTGGATGACCTTGCGCAGGACGCCGCGCATGGTAACGCCAGGGTATTCGGAGTATCGGACCCTCGTATGCGTGCTGTGGAAGTCAATGGTGTTGAGTTGCGACGTGCGGTAGGAGAAACCCGCCGTATTGAAGTCACTCTGGAACGGGGTCAGTGTTCTTCTTCTGCATGGAGCTATTCCGTTGGTGTTGAACATGCCTTGAGACCACCGATAGAGAGAATAAGGTCCGACGACTCGACTCTTTCCTTGACATCGGGCTGTGAGGCGTCTCCGGCGTATACGCCGCCGTAATTCGGGTGAGTCTCGTTTACGGCGCCTTTGCCCATCGGTGTGACAAAGACGGGGATCTCGGCCTTCTTCAGAAGATCATGAACCTCAGGAAGCACGCGATGGCGAATGGCGCATGCGTCGACCAACATGATGGGCTTCTTGGCCGCGTGGAGGTATTTGAGGACGACCTCAACGACATAGTCTTCCTTGTCGGTGTCATTGGGAACCTCGTCCAAGTTGATGGGGGTCTTCAACCTCTCACCCTCCACCTTCTTCTGAACCATGTCGGTTGGAAGCATGATGTAGACGGGGCGACTGCGGATCCAACACTCCCTAAGCGCGTGGTCAATCTGGTTGGCAATCTCAGCCGGGTCGTTGAGCTTGGCAACGTCGCAAGAGACCTGAGAGCTCATGTTGGCGAAAACGTTGAAGTCTCCGTTGCCAAGGGTGTGGTGCAGAAGCATCCCGTTTCTCTGGGAGATGGTGGAAGGGCATCCAACGATGTGGACAACCGGGACATGCTCAGAGTAGGCGCCAGCGAGGGCATTGATGGCTGAGAGCTCACCAACACCAAAGGTGGTGATGATGGCGGAAATGCCCTTGACACGCGCGTAACCATCGGCGGCATAACCTGGGAGCTGTCAGTATGGTCGATTGTTACCTAGCTCACCTCATACGTAGCTACTTACCAGCGTTGAGCTCGTTGACACTGCCAACCCAGTTAAGACCAGAGTCAGGGAGGTAGTCAAGAGCGACGAGGTTGTAGTCTCCCGGAAGGCCGTGAACTGAGCGAACTCCGACCTCATGAAGCCTCTTGAAGAGGTACTCGGCGACGTCGACGGGCCTTTTCAGCCCTTGTGTACGAATATCAGCCATGATTGGATGTTACGGAAGCGGCTGTTGATGAAGGAATAGGAAAGAGTTGCGCAGAAATGGTGCACGTGGGCTAGTTCTGAGACATTCAGATATGTAGAATGCTTGGATGTTTGATACTTGGGCTTGTACGGAGAGCACTGTGAGTAGGAATCACGGAGACAGAGAGGTTTATATCAACGCAGGGACTGGCAGAGCTCGGCGTAGTCGCTCTCGAGGGGGAGTCACTCGATGAATGGATCGACTGGGATCAAGTCAGACCACTGTCGATTAGTTGATGAAACGATAGGATCATCGGCGACATGCGGCATCTCAGGCAGCGGCATATTCCTATAAGCTAGAGCAAGCAAGGTTAAGTGACAGAATCGACGAGAAGTCGATGTGGTGGATTAATAGAAAGGTCAAGCTAACCGGGGGTGGAATCTGGCGGGTTTCGGTAGATGCAGGAAGTACCTTATGCATGGAACATGGCTTGGAATAAGAGAGATGGTCGCGTTGTTACCTGGTAAGGCCCAGCAGATATTCCAGTGTTTCAAGGGTCTGGTCATAGTTGATGGTTCGCGACTCTATCAGATGCAGGCAAAAGTGATGTAATTGAACACGCCACACCAGAATGTGGTCACCATTACACCGGGCTGCTGCCGGACTTGAACCAGGGTATCGAGATCAGTCTTGGTCCAAAAACTAAGGTAATTCTGCAAGACTCTGGTTGGTATCTCACCCTGTCCTTGTTGGCTGAGCATGCTCACTTGGCGGCTTTCGGCCGACGGATGAAGCGAACGGTAGAGATATTGTGTCATTGTTAGGACGAGGTTGAGAGGAAGAAAGACCAAGACCACTTGGGCGGTTTGATGAAGTAATTACCATCGTGGATGTGAAGTTGACGGGAGGTACCTATCTGACATGGATGAGTTGGCGGGGCCATAACGGGCAGCAGCGCTGAGACTTTACCTACCTTACCTATGTAGGTAGGTAGGTACCTTGGCACCTAGGTACCTTAGGCACTTACCGGGTACCTAGGTAAGGTAAGGTAGGTAGGTATCCACTCGGCGCGCCACCAGCGCCAACACCACCTCGCCTGTTTGTCTTCTGACAGCGTGGGATGTGCGCCCGCCTCGCCGGGATATGCTGCCGAACCGCGCCGCCGGACCACGCTACCTAGGTTCTCCCAAAACGAGCCACTGTCTGCGACTTCGGATTCTTTTTTTTTTTTTTTTTTTTTTTTTTGCTCGGGTGTTTATTTAAGGTGAGCAGTCAACCAGGGATCAGTTCTCGGTTGATGCGCCCCTGCGGTTCGGACACTTGGTGACAGCCTGCTCCTCTGACCGCCATGCTGCAGATACGACTCAAAACCCACCGGGCTCGACATGATCTGATGCTGAAGACCAGGTCTCGGCCTTGCTGCGGCCCATCCAGACGCTTCCACCAGCTGGCCGCTCTCAGTCGCCAAAAAGGTGAGATATACACCCCGCCGGTACCCTCCGTTACCTAGGTCACCGAAGCCTCCGGGTGCCGGCCGCGGACTTTCGGTTTCGGGAACCGCCTGGATGCTCCGCGTCGTCGTCCAAGGTGACAAGTGCGCTTGTAGCGAATCGTGGTGGTATGGTGTCGAAAGTTTTCCAAGGTCCAGCCAGGCGGTAAATGTTCTGCTGCTGCGAGGAACTCACCATCTTGACTGAGAAGTAAGTGCGATTTCTAGGATCTGCTTCACGCAGACTCCGAGCCAATCTGCGATTTGTGCAGGAGATCATGGAAGAAGCAGGCATTCACACATCCCTATGCTCTCAATGCACTGTGTAGGAAGAGTGGGAGATGCGCCGAGCACGGTGTGTACGGATCAGCAGCGCGCTCAAGCTGCCGCCCCAGCTGCCAATGTTGTCTATATGATATGAGTGCTAGTTTACATTTTGTTACAACAGGATTCCGAGGGCGGGGAAAGGGGGGGGAGTTGCCTGGCAATTCACTTTGCCAGCGCCTGCGCAGGCCACAAAACCTGCAATGTCCGCCGTCTCGGAGTCTAGCAGGCTTGGTCTTTTACGTCTTCTGCCAGATCGGATCTCAATCGCAGCGACCATCTTTCCAACCAGTGCGCCACCGCTCTTCCCATTTGCTGCAGTCGAACTCTTTCTTTCCGAGCTTCCGGTTTACCTCGTTGTGAGCCTCGCACAACCAGTTTCCGAAGTCACTGCGGCCGTCGACTCGCACCTGTTCCCTCTGCATGTAGGATTGAAAATCTTCGGCACATACCCAGCAAGGGTACAACTTGGAAAATAGTCTCATGAAGCCCCGCAGATCATCCTTCTGATTCGGCGACGGCTTCTCGGGGTATGTTGCTGCGATTGAATGTAAAAGCGCCCATGTCCCGCGACCAAGAGCCTCGACATCGGGAGGACAGTCATCGGCGGGCCTCGTTGTCGGAGGAGTTCCTTTCTTCAACGAGGCGTTGGCTTGGGCTGCCCAGCTAGAGAATGCGCTCTTGGAGGAGCAAGACCGACACCTGAAGGGCAGTCGCCCGTTAGTAGGAGACTCGTCAAATAGGACTTGGTCGGCAGAGTCTAGTACAGAGAAGGGACTGGACTTACGGTTTACCGTCTTTACCCAAGACGACCCCCTTTGGCAGCGGTTTCGACGGTTCGGTGGTCGCATCGGCGGCAGAAGCAAGGCTACCGGTGTTGGAGTCTCGGTCTGCTTCTGTTGCGGTCATGGCGACTGCTTCGCAAGCGTCGCTTTTGTGGAACAGGCTGCGAAACACAAGACAATGGGTCGAGAAGAAAACTCCAGAGGGAAAAAAACGGGAGACGAGGATTCGGGCCGCGCGACTTTGGCGACCGAGGATTGCAGCGAGCGAACGCGAGAAATCGCCGTGGGAAATTTGTAAGCTCAGGTCTGTTCTATTGCGTCAGCCCGCACACTGTAGAACATTCCAAGTCCATTTTCCTTATCGATAAGACCGGTAGCTTACCTAGGTACCTTACCACCTACCTTACCTACCTTGCCTGATTGTGCTGAATACCTACCTTACCTACCTGCCTTAGTCAGGATCGCTGACGTGCCTTAGGTACCTAAGGTAGGTAGGTAGGTATCGAAGCACCCGCAGTTGAAGTAGGTACGATACCTCCTATTACCTGTGCAATAAGATTCCTCGGGATGCAGTACAATTCTTTCTGCTTCGCACACTATGTAGACATGTCCGTATCCCGTGTACCTTACCTAAGGTACGAATAGGCAGTCAGAGTGTTCGGGTGCCTTACAGACTCAGACTTGCACGGGTCCCATAAAGCCGCCGCTGGATCGATTCATCAGCCATCGGTCAGACGCCTAATATGGGGTGCTTCTGTCCCAGAGCCGCACGGGGGTCACGTCACACAAGGTCTCCGTGATTTCGCCGGGGTCGCCCGTCAGCCTTCGGACCGTGAACAATGAAGGGGGGGAAAAAGCCCACACCTCCGCGAATATTACGGGGCCTACGGAGTAGTCCCAAGTTCAACGGTTGTCATCCGCGATGCTTGATCGGAAGATGAGGTCGCATCTATCTTTAGCATTGGCGGCTATCCCGAGAAGACGAAGACGATGGTGTGATTGAAAGTCACCACGTTCATCCGGAGCCTCCAAATGCGGATATTATCGGGCGATGAGTCGATGGGATGTGGTGTAACGGGACTAGAGATGGGTATCGTACAACAGAACCCGCCGATGTCGCAGATTGCACGATTGTCTGATCAAAACTGCCTACATAGAGCCGAATGTTTGGGACGTGAAGCCAAGTTTGCGAGGTTGACTCAATGTTAGCTGGTAGATTGACAGGTTGATGGATAAATGGCCAACCTGGAGTCCTTTAGCGCCCACTCGCTGCGTTAACGAACACCTTACCTAAAACAGTACGTAACTTTAATCCGGTGGAGAGGACACTGCAGATTCGGCGGAGGCGGGGCAGAAGATACCGCTGGGTGAAGTGACGATGAGTCGTTTGCAGAGTTCAAACTGAACGGGACCAATCTTCTCGTCACACATGGAAAAGCAGCTGCTCTTAGGGTTGATCGAACACTATTGATTTCCTCGCCTTTCCCAGTCATAGGAGAGAACAAGGAAACAATCTTCCGACATGGCGCACTCGGCTACCTCAACCACTGTGCCGGTCTTACTGCTCAAGACCAAGTCGACGCCCGGCGATTCCTATGAAGAGCTATTCTCCCAAAACCACAATGGACCTAATTTCGAGCCTACGTTCGTCCCGGTTCTGCATCATAGTTTCCAGGAGCCAGGAATGACGGTGGCAAGAGACGTCCTGCACCGCCGCGCCATAAGCACCGACGCGGACGCCTCATACGGTGGCCTCATCTTCACCTCGCAGAGGGCAGTGGAGGCCTTCGCCCAGTTGGTCGACGAAAAGAAAGGTCAGTTGCCAGCTCAGCATCGGGTGGCCGTAGCTAACGTGATGCCTAGGTGCTGAAGGGGGATGGCCTCATCTACAGAACGTGCCTGTCTACAGCGTAGGCCCGGCCACGACACGAGCCCTCAAGGCCGTGTCTCAGGAGCCTGCGCTGCAGATTTTTGGGGAGCATACCGGCAACGGCGATGCCCTCGCCAAATTCATTCTGGAGCATTATGGCCAATGGTACCAACATAGGTCGGTCAAACCGCCTGTGTTGTTCCTCGTCGGCGAGCAGAGGAGAGACATCATCCCAAAGACTTTAATGAACGCAGGCCTGGCTAGTGATAGAAGGATCCAAGTCGACGAGGTCGTTGTCTACGGAACGGGCGTCATGGAGTCATTTCCGCAAGATTTCGACGATATCTTAAAAGCTACCCAGGAGCGGCCAACGCGGTGGGTGGTTGTCTTCTCCCCAACAGGCTGCGACGGAATGCTGCGTGGGCTGGGCATGTTGGACGAGGCGACAGGAAAGGTAAACAAGGACAACCAAGCAAAGCGAACGACCTTCATTGCAACAATTGGACCGACTACGCGCGACTACCTCAAGAGGACGTTCGACTTCGACCCTGACGTCTGTGCAGAGGAACCGAGTCCTGAAGGCGTCAAGCAAGGCATTTTACAGTTTATGGAGATTCACAATTGATTCTACCGGTTCTTGGACTGAGCCTTCCACACGGTATTTGGTTCGAATAGATAGCCAGTCCCTGTGGACCATATCTAACACCCATTTTCACAGACGTCGAGGAGCAATGCCCCGAGCTATTCATTGTTTTGACTTATGAATCCCCGATTGACTTGCTGGACGCCAGGACGACGACATCAGAAGAGGGAGACTCGCGTGGGCGGTACTTGCGTTCTGATTGGCTACAGTTTAATTGATCAAGCCTGACGCGAAAGCGTCGCGGTCGCGTTCATCTCGTGTCAGAGCTCCTAGTAAATGACGCGACGAAACGCCAAAAGCGTGTTAATTACTACACGGACCGCGACCTAAACTGGGGATCCCCGGGTCCATCCCAACCACGGCGGCGGGACAAGACCAACGGTGGGAAGAAAAAAAAGGGAAGAAAAGACTGGTCTGACTTCTGGACGGACATTCATTCCTAAACCATGGTGCAACCCCTGCTCAGTTCCCTGTAGAGCATCACCCCCGACTACAAACAATGGCAGGCTTGAAGAAGTAAATGGGAAAAGAAAAACATTTTTCTCAAGTGTGGTCTCTTTCAAGACACATCGATTCGCCCCTCCCGCATCGCAAAGCCTAAAAAGTGGCAAGGATGAATCTTGCGGTACCTGTGAGAAGCCAAAGACGCCTTTCTGGTATCATAGAACAATAGGAATAGGAAAACTTTAGTCCCGTTGCGCCGATGTGCATCATCAGGCAATAGGCTCGTCGAATGTCAATCGTCTCCTGGCCAAGCTGACAGGAGTCCGTGTTGAGGACAGCGCGACGGGCGTTTTCCACGCCTTTTGCGCTGGGCTGGGTGTGATGTTGACAAACTCGGCGAAGTCGAATCCTTGCCCAGGCGTGTTGGGAAAGAGGTTGCCCCCGCCGGGGGTGGTCATGTGAGACGAGGGAAGCGTCATGTCGCGGCCAACCTTGGATGGCGGCGTTGAGGGAGGTTCCATTCTCGTCTTCGTGGATGGGACTGCCGGCGATGGTGAAGCAGCGAGGTACAGTAGGAGATCAGCACCCTCCTCTCCAGACTTGACTGGTTCAGCACCAACAGCCCTGTCCTTGTTGCGGCGATTGGGAATCGGTCGGTTGCGCATCGGCGGTGTCGTTGGGGGCGAGGAGCGCAGGTTGTTCGACCTGAACGACTGTGTAGGTAGGAGGTCGTCCTCATCGTCCGAGTTGGCATTGTAGTTGGGCGACACGAGGTCGTCAGCAAGCCTCCGGGCGCCTTGGAAGAAAGACACGTCGGGACCGGTCGATGTGGTGAAGTGTTGTTGCCTCCTAGGCTTGATGGGTGACGACTGCGCAAGTTGGTGACTTTCTTTCCACGATGTATGGGTCTGGATAGGCTTCTGCGGCGTGGGGGAGGATCTGAAGCGTTTGCTCGGGCTAGACGTGGGATACTCGAAGGAGGCCATGTAGGTTCGCTTGCGATGGCCGGAGCTTCCGTTGCTAGATCCGATGGCATCGGAGAACAAAGGAGCCTTCAACGGAGAGCTCATCAGCGTCCTTGTGGGGTATGGCAGATCAGAGGCACTGGAGGATGAGTCGGACAGCACATCTCCTTCGCACAAGCGCTTTCGTCGCAGCTCCTCCTCGTACTTGGGCTCGATGGTATCCAGCGTGAGATCCTCCCAGCCATGTTTCGTCTTGAATTGGGCAAGGGCAAGTCGATTTTGCAGCCTTCTGGCTATCTGTTCAGGAATTTGCAATTAGTACGAGCAAGGCATCGGGGTTCGAGACATACCTTGCTGACTTCTGCCCGTTTCAGCACCTTGTCTGCGACCTCTTCCGGTTGCTGCTTCCACGGAGACGTCATGGTTTGAAGGTCCAACATACACGGCAATGACGGATGGTATAACCGGAGTCGTTGTGTCGAGGAAGCGGCGAACGGTGGGGGACGAGATTTCGGAAGAGGAGTTTCAGGGGATGACAGTCGTCGAGGCTGCTCTGCCCGGCAAGCGATGGCTTGGGAGTAAACGGAAGCCGGAGCAGCTTATCGAGAAATGAGGGG